ACATATCATACAATTCAGTAGTTCAATCGTTCAATCATATCAAGGAGAATTACTACATCCTTTTAGAGCATTCCTCCCCCACCCCACCTCATGGTTAAATCCCCTTTAAAATGAGTTGTATAATCACAATCAGTTCTAGTGCCCCCCCACTCCCGCCTTCATTATTTACTCCCCAAATCCCCTTTCCTTCCCTATCACCCAACCCCTCCTGTATCCCCTAAATCCCCATGTACCAGTTGTTCTCATTATGCATCCACCGTTCCTGTGCTCCCAGCTGGGAAACCCAAAAGTCAAAGGAAAAAGAAGACCCATGCCGATAACACTTTGGAAGCTAGAGAGCAGATGAAAGAGAATGAAGTAATTTGGCAAACCCAAAATAAGTCAAAATAAAGCAGTAATGAGAAAGGTTGAGAGGAAAGCAGATTTTTATTACCGGGTCTACTCCCCCAAATAGCTAACAGATTGGCTCAGTACCTTTGGAATGAGAATGACAGTGGACCGATCAACAGGAAAACGTCTAGGAAGCAATGCGATTCCCCATGCTTCTTCGGGAAGGCTAGAGCTTGCCTCTGAGAGAAGATAGTAGAGCATCTTAGGGGTAGAGTGCAGAAGTTGACAAAAACAAGGAATCAAATGAACAGTTACGTAGCAATGCTAAAGCCCTCCTGTAACTCTCTTCCGGATTAAGTTCCAGTCAAAAGATTCTGCTCTGGCGCGCATTTAGGTGAAGACCTAAGAGACTGGCATTTGGTGACGACCCCAAGGAGAGAGGTCAGCCAGACCTCCCTGTAGAAAAGGCCCCATAGCTTATGACAGACGCTTTTGATGGACTAAAGAGACTAAGACACTGTGTGCCTTAAACTACAGAAGAGGAGAAATGGGACGAGGATTAACCTCCTCCAAGAGGCAAGAGACGCTGGAGCCCCCACGAGACAAAATCAGACGCTATGCTTCGAAAGTTAAAGATGAATATCCAGACAAGAAAAAAAAGCACGTGGAAATAAAAACCCTATACTAGAAACTAAAATCTCAAGGATCAAGGGGGGAAAAAAAGATATTTTCTAGAAAATAAAGCCAAGTGAAAAGTGGATGGAAGAAAATAGGACTCTTAGTGGGAATTCCAGGACAATGAGCAAGGGGAAGAAGTCACCCAAGAGGTCCTTTTCCAAGCTTTCTCAATTTAAGGGGCATGATTTTCCAGATTAAAGGGCTCACAGCGCACCCCAGATTTTTGATGACGGTAAACTCACACCCAGGCACATTTCCGTGATGTTTCAGAACTCTGAAAGCAAAAGCCACTACAGACCCCAGGGGGTAAGATGAGAGGACCCGGATCCAGTTTCTGAAAAGACACCGTCACAATGCCTCAAAATCCAAATGGATCTCCTGCTTAGAAGTCCATCTCTAGACAGATTGCCAGTCGCATTCGATGCCCACGGCATAAGGACGTTTTCACACGCACCCAGTCTCAGAGGCATTTCTGCACCACACACGAAGGATGCTTTTCACCAAAATGAGGGAAGAAATCCAGAAAGGTCTGGGACACGAAGCACCAGCAGCGAAGGCCTCACCAGGAGGATGATGGAGAAACACCCTCCCCTGAGAGCTGTGCACCAGACACAGGAGCCCAGCCCAGAAGGGAGAGAAGTCCAGTAAGTCCATCTTTCAGGAGAGACTTCTGGACGATGGATCTGGTGGGATGAACCGAAGCGTTGGGGAGGACGCTTGGGAGGTGGAGCGAGTGATAAATGCATAGACAACTCAGCAAACCCTGAAGAGGACAAGGACTAACTCCAGAGAACACAAAATGCCGTCAGGACAGTCATCACAGCAAACTGCAGTGACTTCGCTGTGAACATCTCCGAAGGAAGCAGAGCCATGTAAACTGTACCTGAACAAAGCCATGATGTCATTATACTGGGGAATGAGAAAAGTTGGTGTGTGAGGCGACAGAGGTTGGCAGAGGTAACGCAAAGTAGCTGAATCGACCTCCTTAATGGTGGGAAGTCAAATACTGCTTAAAACTGAAAATAGTCAAGCAATAAAACGACAAGCATGTGATATTCCTACCTGTCATCGAGTCCATTCTGCCTCATAGATGCTCTGTGTACAACAGGACAAAACACTGCCCGACCCTGCAGCCTCCTCACCAGTGTGATTATGTTTGAGCCCATTGTCGCAGCCACTGTGTCAATCCGTCTTGTCAAAGGCCTTCCTCTTCCTCACTGACCCACCACGTTATCAAGCATGATGTCCTTCTCCACGGACTGGTCTCTCCTGACATGTCCAAAGTAAGTGAGGGGAAGTCTCGTCATCTTCTTCTCTCAGGAGCAGGCTGGCCATGCTTCTTGCAGAATCCATCTGTTTGTTCCGCAGTACCTTTCACACTGCCTGCCGACACCACAATTCAAACGCATCAATTCTTCTTGGGTGTCCTTACTCCAAGTTCAGCTTTCACATGCACATTGTGTTGGTCTGGGCTGACTAGAGAAACAAGTTCATAGACACTCATATGTGTATAAGAAAGAGCTTTGTATCATAGAGCAGTTGCATATTGAGAAAGCATCCCAGCCCAGTCCAGATCAAGTCCATAAATCTGGTATTGATCCATATGTCCGATACCAGTCTATAAAGTCCTCTTCAGACTCATGAAACACATGCAGTGATGCTGAATAAGGAAGATCACAGGCTGGTGGGTGGAAAGTCTTGTGGATCCAGTAAGCATCTCAGCTCTGGCAGAGTCTCCACGTGGCTTCTCTAGCTCTGAGGCTCTGGCTGCCATCAGCCTGTCTCCATGTGGCTTGTCAACAAGAATGTCTCACAGGGACTGAACGTGTGTCCCACCTCCAACGAACTATTTATCTCCTTAGCACCTCCAAATGAGGTCTTTAAGCTGTGACCTGATTGACAGGCCAAACTCCACCCCTTCACTCGTAAGTCTCAAATTGACAATAGATTATGTAACTACCACACATACGAAACGATAGAAAATACCATGCTTGGGTCAAGTGCACCCTATTCTCCAAAGTAACATCTTTGCTTTTAACCCCTTAAAGGGGTCTTGTACAGTAGATTTACCCAATGCAATGCACCCTGTGATCCCTGAACTGCTGCTTCCAAAGCACCTTACTTAGGCAAATACAAACCAAAATCCAAACTCACTGCTATCACGAGTCGACCCCGACTCATAGTGACCCTACAGGACAGGTAGTACTGGCCCCCTGTGTTTCCAGTGGACAGTAAATCTTTATGGGAGTAGAAAGCCTCATCTTTCTCCTGAAGAGCAGCTGTGATTTCTGGTTTCAAACCATTGACCTTGTAGTTATCAGCCCGATGCATAGCATACTATGCCACCAGGGCTCCAGCAAGTACCAAAGAGCTTTAAAATACCTGAAAATGGTTGCCTCGGGTAAAGGAACATTTTTATATCAGATTCCTGCACGTGTGTGCGCATGCGTGCATGTGTGTGTATGTGTAACTATCCTTGTCATACTAGCTGGCCTTTAAAACTCTTGTGCTTATATAACTACAATTGAAACAATATTTTAAAAGTAAAAAACTAAGAGTAAATTGCTCAGCATGAGGCTGGGAGCAAAGAGGAAGATGACTTCTATCAGGACGCTTGAACCTCCAAGCCTGGCCTTCCACAGAAAGGAACTGGTGTCTACCAGCATGCTAATATATTAAAATGATTTACAGTAGGCTATGCTGATGGATTTTTTTTTTTTAGTGAGAATAAATAATCTCACCGCTGTAACCTAGTGAAGGTGGCCTGAGAAGAGAAGTTATTCTATAATTTACAGCTTTGTCCGTTGCCCTTCCCTGTTATGGAGAAGAACCAGTGTTCTGATTTTAGCTTAAAGATGTCAGCTCCGTCGGAGGAAGGTAGAATTGGGAAGGAAGAATTGATTGTGTGGTTTCTGGAATGCCTGGAGTGGCCAGAGTCGGATTTAATTGCTCAGTCAAAGTAGTCCCAGGGCATAAATTACTCCCTGGGTATAAATTTCTCCCTGGGGTAATTTATATCTGGTGAATAGACTACAAATATGAATGCAGAATGATCTTGCTAACCTGGAAGCATAAAAATGACTTTCTTGCAGAGAGAGGCCTGAAGGAGACCACAGACCCACCCACTCCACGCAGCACGGAGGATCGCTGAGAGGGTTTCCTTCGCCTTGCGTTTGTGCGGGGGTCACAGGGTGACAGCTGCCTAACATGGCTCTTTTGCTATCCCTGCATCTGTAGGATGAACACTGTAATGATGCTGTCATGCGTATAGTATGAATTTTTTCAAACTTCCGCATTGAATCCATTCCAACTCAGAGTGCTTCTGCAGGATGCCCCTGCACGGCTGCCAAGGCTGTTTCTTTACGGCAGCAGACGGCTCCGCTGATCTGTCTCTCATGCCCGACGCGTCCAGGCAACAGGCTTTTCAGTGAGCGGGCGAGTGCTTTCGTCGCTGCGCCACCCGGTCATGCTAGCCTTTCAACGTCTCTGTTTTGTTCAATTTATCTTGCAACAAAACCGAGCTGCCGGGTCCTTCCCAACGTTTGGAACATACATAGAGAGAGAGCCTAGAAGGGACAGGGGAGCCAGACCACGTGATGCGTTTCCTCTCCTTCTGAACCGCAGCCATTCACATTCACAGCTGCCGGCTGCCCAGATGTTTCCTGCACCAGAATATATTGTGTGACCGAGGTTGGAGTAAACTAGACCACTAGGTATTCTTAATTCTGCTGGCTGGATGCAATGTGGCTATCTCATTTCCACATTAGCCTCCCTCCTCTTTTTCCCTCCATTATCATCCCCCACCCCCACTGCACACACAGCCCACCTTCATTGACTCCAGGCACCTGCAGTTCCAGCTCCTCATTCAGCTGTATGGGGTGTCAGAGCAGGCCAGGCCTGATGTCGGTGGCACATCTGATAAGCGGGGGGATGGAGGGAGCAAGACGTGGGGTTCAGGAAAGCTGATGAGCTTCCGTCTTCTGCTTTTGCAGGCAGCCAACATCCCCCTGGTGTCCGAGCTTGCCATCGACGACATGCGCTTTGACGACTTTTCGCTGGACGTGGACGCCATGATCACGGCTGCTCTCCGGATGTTCATGGAGTTGGGGATGGTGCAGACATTTAAAATCGACTACGAGGTAAGTTTTCTACTTGGGCTGATTCCAGGAGTGTGCCCCCCACACACATACCACCCCGGGGGCTTAGGGTGAGCCACTCTGAGCCTCAGGATTCCCAAATCCCAAATGAGGATGATGATGACTTCTCTGGGCAGCGGGCAGAGTGAGTGTGAGATCACACGTGGGGTTTGTGGGGTGGAAGGACTTGGATCGTGGAAGGCGGTGGGTGACTGGGGTGGAAGGTTGCGCTTGGCTAATGGGCCTCCTGGAGACACACAACACGGGCTCAATGGCTCCATTCCCATTGCAGACCCTGTGCAGGTGGCTTCTGACGGTGAGGAAGAACTACCGCATGGTTCTGTACCACAACTGGAGACACGCCTTCAATGTGTGCCAACTGATGTTCGCCATGCTGACTGTAAGTCCGTGTGTTCCGTGGCGGAGCCAGTCGTCTGTCCCTGGGGGGACCCACAGGGCCCACTCCTTTCACACGCCCATTTCTTCGACAAAGGGTTTATGTGACATCCGAACTTACTCGCCCCAGTTACGGCAGTATCTATTTGATGAGCATTTCAAAGCTCCACGGCTGTAAAATAACTGACACCTTGAGGCAGGCACAAGGTTGGAAAGATTGCTTCCAGTCCCGTTTCAATCGCTGATCTCAGGAAACTTGTTCTTTGACTCAGGAATGACTGTTTAATAGAGGATATGGGGATGAATACAATGACAGTGATCTACTTCCTCACTCGGTAGAACACCAAAGTGTGGAAGAGTCCACACGAGCCACTCACTGAGACTCACTGCCCTAAGGGGATGCCGACCCCTCGTGACCCTGTAGGACAGGGTAGAACTGCCCTGTGAGTTTCTGAGTCTGTAACTGCCCACAGGACTAGAAAGCCTTGTCTTTGTCTCGCCAAGCTGGCCGGTGGTTTCAAACCGCTGACCTTGTGGCTGGCAGCCCAATTGGTAACCACTATGCCACTGGGGCTCCCCATTGTTATCCGCAGGAGCATGCAAAACCTGGAGCGTGCTGATCTGACTGAAGAGCACGTGAGAAAGAACCGTGGGGTAGGAGGGTGTGTTCTCAAGGGTTAATTCTTTCCGGGGAGCGCTGTGACCTAGTGAAGGTGGACAGATGACTTTATGGAGGTAGCTGGCACAGCCTGCAGGCGCCCTGGTAACTTAGTGGTGCTATGTTAGACTGTGATCTGCAGGGTCAGCAGTTTGAAACCACCGGGCACTCCTCGGGAGGAAGCCAGGGCTTTCTACTCCCATAAGAGTCAGAGCCTCAGACTCTCACAGGGCAGTTCTACCCGGCCTGACAGGGTGGCCGCGACTTGGCCCTGCCGAATTTGGTTTGGTTTTGGAGGGCAGCCTGCGGGAGGTAAGTCCTGAAATTTAATCTAAATGTCTGTGGCAAAGATGGAAACAAAATCCATATCTGCTTACCCACATTTGCTGGCAGAAACCAGGTTTACCTTTGGCCCTGTTTCCACTTACATTATTAAGACAGCGTCAAGTAAAATCTCCCCCCACCCCCCCACCCCCCCAAATATATATATATTACTAGCTTGAATGTGTGGGATTTTTAGGCTGGTATTTGTGTTTCCATTTGTAATGGAAAACTTTTAAGTCCCTCTTTCCATAAGCCTTTTACATATTCTCTCCCCCCCACCCCCACCCTTCCACCCTTGTACACACCTCACACACAGGTTTAAACATATCTACTCCAGGAGCAAAAGAGAACTGAGTTCTGGCTTCTCATAATGGAACTCCAAGTACCTTACATTTTTGCCCCCAGATTAGAATTTGACTCCCAAATAGGGAACGCTGCATGGAATGCATTTTCCTCTGGTCTCGCCAAACGAAAATCATCCTCACGAAATGCTCTGCCCTGCTCTCTGCCTATTAAAATGTTACTTCTCCTGTAAGGCGTTGCTCTAATTTCAGTTTTGCCTCAAAGTCTTCCTCTTTCTCCCTAAGCATTAATAATTACTTACTTCTCTGCACAGTATCTAGTATAACACATCTATCTTCCTACTGTGTATTTTAAGTTACAAATCCACTGGGTAAGCGCCTGAGTTGGAAGAGAACGTATTCTCTCAACGGCCTTCGCTGATTTAGTCCACACCTGTCTCTGAAGGCCTCAACAGCATCTTGTGCTCCTCGTGCAGGTGACCAATAATTCCACAAACGAAACTGAATTGAGTTGAATCAAAGTATATGTAACATAAGAAGAAGGGACCCCCAAAATATGTTCTACTTGGAGACTTTGCTTATGGGGGAGTGGGTCCAGATTTCATCTGCTTAAGGACCAGCCAGGATGACCTGAGGAAACTGGACCAGCCTGACCCTCTGCAACAGTGGTTCTCAACCTACCCAAGGCCGCCACGCTTTCAGACAGTTCCTCGTGTTGTGGTGACCCCGTAGGTGGGTGTATCTGCATGCGGGCGGACCTGCCTGCAGACGGATAGAGGAGCGGTGTCTCGGTTCCTAAGACCATCGGAAATATGGTGACCCCTGTGAAAGGGTCATTTGGCCCCCAAAGGGGGTGCGACCCACAGGTTGAGAACCGCTGCTCTGTAAGGTAAACGTGTGGAGCTGCTAACCTTCAGGTCAGCGGGAGAAAGATAGGACTTTCTCGTCCCATAAAGAGTTCCAGTGTCGGAAGCCCACAGGGGCCCTTCTGCCCTGTTCATCAGGATCACTGTGAGTGGACGTAACTCCATGGCAGGGAGCAGACCCTATGTAACACGCACCATTCAAGCAGTCACCCAGTCACAAACAATGGTTTGAACCGCAAGGCTTCATTGTATAAAGTGCCGGTGTTGGTTGAAGAAAACAATGAACGAAACTACACTTCAGTTTTCCATATCACATCATACCCGGTCAGAAATCCTTTTCTGTGTGATGTGTGCATGTCTCTGGCTCACGGCAGCTATTCAAGAAAGACATTCTTAATGGACTGGTTTGGAGAAGCTGTTCATGTCTGGTGAACTCCCATCACAAGTAAGGAGGAACCTTGCTCCACAGAGTGAAGAGGAATGAATGGCTGTGACTTTTTGAGTCCGAGATGTCAAAGGCAGAGATGCATTTGTAAGGCAACCCTTAAAGGAGCCGGGATGTGGGGAGCTGGCGAGGCCGGAGGGGCAGGGGGCACTTAGGAGGAAAAGGAAACAACGCTCCGTTTTCGGCCGTGAACATGTCCTATCTGCACGGTCTGATCCTTTTCCAAGCGTGGCGGAAAGGAGAACTCACAGATTGTGTTCCCACGATGGGGACAGTCACACTGTCTGAATATAAGGGGACGGCTGTATTTGCAAGTCTGCACAGCATCCTTGAAGAGGCCTCTGCGGGAGCCCTTGTGGGCTTTCGCTTGTACTCGTGGGGTGCGGAGGGAGGCTGCAGAATCCAAACACGGCTTGGGAAAGACGACATTGGCAAATATTATTTTTTCTCCCTCGCTGTGCGTGGAAGACCCACATCTGGAAGAGATAGGATTTTCTGCTCAAGGAATGTGTGCTGAACTTGACGAAGGGCCCCATACGTTTACAGTGCCAACTTTCGTCCGTCTCTAGCACAAGCCCTCGAGCCGAGACCTGGTGAATCCGAACGTTTTCAGAAAATGATGACAGGAATAACTAGCAAAGATCAGGGAAGAGGAACCTTTATTTATTTCACTAGTGGTCAATTTTTAAAGTGTGGACCTATGCCGATGGCTGAGAGTAACCTACTTATTTCCTCCAAGGCATTTCTCGTTACAGGCGCTCCTGAAGACGCTGAGGTCTTTTACTGTTTGGGGGGTTTGTTTGGATGAAGTCGGGGGAGGGGAGGTTTTGCTTTAGTCGGTGAGAGTCATATTTTATTTTTATGTGTTGATGTAGAACCCAATTTTTCTATTAATCTGATTTTTTTTTACCATACAACTACTGAATTCAGCCTGGGTAACAAAAGCCAAAAAGAGTGTGCTGGATTTTCCTCTAGATGGCGCTCCAAGGCAAAGTTTCTCAGCCAGGGAAAAACAGGGTGCGGAGGGGGAAGGACTTCCCAGTCATCCTTGAAAGTGTGTCTTTTCTTCAACAACAGATGCTAAGGCATCCATATTCCCCACACAAAAGATTTTATATGTATATAATAAACAAACGCAGTCTCCCAGGAAAGAGCCCCTGTTCTCAAGATGGACCTGCTTTCTAATTGACAATGCTGGTGTTCTCCGGAAAACCCTCTATGCCACCTTAAGTCTGTGGTTGTGCCTTTTCCTAAACCCATTGTCTCTGGTAATGAGAAAAATGCATAATTGCCTGCCATAAGAGTTTGAGCACAAAGTACCTGAGAACCAGAAAGGTACAGATCTGAGCACCAGCTTCCTGACCTTTCGCCCCCAGATCGCATCCAATACAAAAATGTAGACTTAACTTTTTTAGTGTGTGTCTTGCTACAATATTCAAGTGCATGCCTAATTAACAAAGCAGTGTTCGTTCCTTTGGACATTTAAACAAAGCAAGACAAAAACAAAAACCATTCGCAGGATAGTCAATGTGACATGAAGTAGTGGGAATTTTATTCGCCGGTAACCCAATGGATAATCCCTCTGACCGGCGATTTCAAATTTGTTCAAATGGAGGCTTTGATGGTTAAGCTTTGCTTTTATTTAAAGAGATATTTAGGAAGCTAAAACATACCAATGACTTTGAATTGGATAAATGCTGCATGTGGTACCAGTTAGTCCTGTGTGGCTAAAAGGAATTAACTCCTGCAGGTGAATAATAAATGAGAAATTATTTTTATAAAAGACACATACACAAGGAAAGGTGTCTTATGCTCACGGCACAGACCGCGACAGGAAATGGCTGTGCATGGTTGGCGGTCTGGGAGATAAAAGGCATACCGCAGGACCGAGGGTGCAGACGTTTTTTGTTTTTTTGCAGACGTGTTAGCTCTGACAGCCCCTCCAAGGGGAAAAGGGGTCTCCTTAAGAGTCAGTGTGCTTTACTGTCCCATCAATGTACTCATTAGCACTTGGGGCCATGCCCTTCATCCTGTAGGGGTTCAAGAAAGATTCATTGAGCGAGTGAATTTAGTTTAGGGTAATATTATTCAGGGAACCACGCTGCTCAGTGTCCATGTAAGACAAACAAGCAAACCACAACTATACAATGATGAACAACTAGAAATCATGCTCTCTCTTCCTGTGACACTCAGGTTCAGCGAGGGTTCATAGAGAATATTATGATCTTGCAGAATTCACTGGATGTGAAAAGAGAAGAGAACACATGATCACATTAAAATTTATGGTGGCGCTGGCAGCATGGTGCCGCTGGTGGGGACTCACAGTTAAACACTAATAATAGCCAAGTATCACAGCAAACACATTGACGCCCCCTGACATTTACTGGGGGCTTCTTAAATCTTCAGCAT